CTCTGGCATGTGTGTGATCCCAAGACAATCTTGGAGTTACGTGGTCAATAGCATATATGCCAGCTGCAGCAAACATTCCTGCCTGATGTAAGCCACCTCCCAATACTTTTCTTACTCTTATGGCTCTGTCAATATTTGCATTGAATGAATCTTCAGAAAATTCAGACAATAGTAAGAATAGTAAGTAATAAAATAGAAAGCTTATATTTTCCAAAATAATAATAGTAATAGTAATTATTATTATTATTATTATAATAGGCTTCTTCCATCTTCAAATCTGGCCTAACATGAATAAAATTATTATTTTCATTTTTCATTTGATTTAGTAAATATAGAGTTATTTTTAGACGTTTCTTTAAAGCATTCATTATTATTATGAATGCTGCAAAACAAATAAAATAAAATAAAAAGGTCAAATGTCATTTAGGAGATTCTTTTTCATTCTATAAACTATAATATCTATGGAGTAGTTAAAAATTAAAGATAAAAGAATGCCTAGTAATAGTATCTGGATAAAAAAAGTCTTGCTTGACAGTAACTGTCAGCAATGAAATTAGTTATTTCAAGGATAAGGTACATATATGCTAGATGGCAAAATTAGTTCAAATAACAATCACTGGATTAACAAAGCTGAACATACAAATTTTAAAAAGAAACTGAACCAAAATTCTTGTGGTTACACCACTTAACCCATTGCCGCCAGGGATGGCATGTACGTACATGCCATGCCCACTGTGAGTCGACTTGTTTGAGTGTTTATACACATAGATGGCTACATTTGTACTAAGTCACCAGTGAGCCAATTACGAGTACAGATAGTCCCCTACTTAAGAACATTCTACTTATGAACATTCCATACATGACAAACAAATTTTAAAAATTACTAAAGTCCAAAAAATTGTTTGAAAGATGCTAACAAACTTCAAATTTCCAGGGCGCGAATATAGTTCATGAGTCTGCCACGCCATGGTGCTGCCGCGCTCACTCAGCTGTGCACATCACTGCCTCAGTCGCCTGCCATCACCACTACAATACATTTTCTTTTTGAATAATTTGTGTTTCTACATTAAAGTTGTATGAATCACCATCAAATAATATTAAAAGCATTACATATTACAGGTATTGGGATTTATTTACAGGTATTCTTAATGTAAACAAAACTTTAAAACAATGGGAAAAAAGGTAATGGAGACCCGACTTTCGACATACAAACAAATCGACTTACAAACAGCCTCTCGGTCCCCATTATGTTCTTAAGTTGGGGACTTACTGTACTGCCTGTCTAGCCCGTTCACCCTTTTCATCGATTTGCAAAAATATTTAATGTTATCCTAATTTGCTGTTAAAAATAACAAAATCTATATTTATAGGACTAGTAAGAATACGTTTTTTCCTGCCAATTCAAGGAAAGGTGAAATCAGGACTAGCAGAGCCATCTATGGACAGAGATATTTCACAAAAGTATAAAAAATGAGTACAGCATTTTCCCCATTTTTTGTTCCTTTTCCCCGGCAGCAATGGGTTAATAGCAATGAGATTTTTCTAATCTTCTCTTTACTTAACCAGGATCTACCAAATAACTGAAATCAGCCAAAATACAAACCTTGCTATAAATTCTTTGGTACCCACAACAAGAGATCCCATAGGCGCTCCAAGCCCCTTGTTAAGACACAGAGTTGCAGAGTCACATGACTGAACCAGTCGGGCAGGGCTCATCCCTAGAGCCACTGAAGCATTGACTAATCGAGCTCCATCCATGTGTAATAGCAAGTTCATCTCACTGCACAGAGCTCCAAGCTTTGGGTAAAACATTAATAAAAGAAAGGGAAAATTGGTAAATACCATTAAAACATACTATACTAGTACTACAGTAAAATTATTGTATACTATTGAGATTAGTTCAGGTTTTGTAAAATGTTTGTATTCCAAATATATAAATGCCAATTACTTAGATTTCAATTGTTGACAACATTAGTCACAAATATATGAATAAAATCAGTGTAAGCATATACAAAAATACTATGTTTTTCAAAACAATATTTAGAATCTCAAATTAAAGCATGACAGAAGGCACATAATTCTATGTTTCTTTAGTGACTCACATCATCCAGCCACTGGAGAGGTAGAGCCTTCCCTCCCATCAAGTTGTGGGTATTCTCCACACAGACTAGGGTTGTGACAGGCCAGTGTGGGTCATCATCTCGAACTAGTGATCGCAATTCTTGTAATGAAAAAGTCCCATCAGGATGGTTTTTAATGGTTCGATGGTGGATACTACCAATCTGAAGAAAAATAGTAAACACTATAAGGAAAAATATCAATATTAACCTTGCATGTATTGCAGAAAAGAGCAAGCTATATGTGTAATACTGGAAAAAAATATCATCATCCATATCTTTTTTTGTGTGTGTGTGTGTGTGTGTGTGTGTGTATGTGTGTGTGTGTGTGTGTGTGTGTGTGTGTGTGTGTGTGTGTGTGTGTGTGTGTGTGTGTGTGTGTGTGTGTGTGTGTGTGTGTGTGTGTGTGTGTGTGTGTGTGTGAAAAGGTGCTAGAAAAGTGATATATACTCTCATTAGAAGTGGGGGATGGTATGTAGAGAAGATAAAAAGAGGGAAAGGTAGATGGCTAACTCATGAAGATAACTGATGGGGATGAGGGGGAGAGGAAGCAAGTAAGAGCAAGAATTCAAACAAAAAGGATTAAAATAAGAACAAACTAGAAAAATACTGGAAATTTATGAAAGATAATAAAGGATGCACATTCCAAATACCTGTGGAACTCCTCTCTGCGCCCAAAGATTTAGGTGACTCTGATCCCCAACAACAATCTCTGAACCCCGGCTCCAACAGTGTGTTAAAACTGAAAAATAAATGTTTAGATGTATAAATAACACATTAATTTAAAGGCACAATCAATTTACTGATTGTTAATGTTGTTTAGTCATACTGTCAGCATTACCTCACTACTCTCAAAGGAAGATAAAATTCAACCTGCCTAAGCCTTGGACATAGTATTAAACCACCCATCATTTCCTGTTAGGACATAAGACTACACCAATAACCATTTATAGATTACCATAGGACAAGAAATTTCTTAATAAATACAAGTATCAGACCTGAATTTACCTCTTTCTTATATAACTATTAACTTACCACACACAAGATTTGCCATAGTGCCTGATGGAACATACAAAGCTGCCTCCTTTTCTAATAATTTGGCAACTTTCTCTTCTAAAGCTGAAATATACAAAATGTCACACAATTTCTTAAATATAATCAATAGGTAGAGTTGTAAGTAATTACATATTTCTCATAGCATTCCTCAAGAAAATATAGAGCACAAGTCATTGGTGGTATTTATGAAAATACAGAAATAACAAAGTTTATGAAAATGCAGTAATAAATATGTTAATGAAAATGCTTTGCCAAGATATTGTAAAGGAATTTCAAGTTAGAATATATATCAAAATATTTCGTACTATTAGCTTGTCCGTGATATATATAGATTGATACTACACACCTTCATAAAAGAACTACTGGATTTAACCTTTCTTTCAAGTTTTAATATCACTTCAAGTGAGATAAAGACTAAAATAACTTCAGAGATGAATATAGAAAACTGCAAATGTTTGGCTATGAATAATCCATAAAGTTTCTGAAGTTAAATACAATTTTTAGACATAGTTAAAAAATATACCTTTAACAGTTGAATCTTCAGAAAAAACGTCATCACCAACTGGTGCATCAAACATGGCTTCCTTCATTTCTCTGCTTGGTTGGGTAACTGTGTCACTTCGCATATCAACAATACGCTGTATTAGAAAAAAAGAAATATATATATATAACCATACTATCAATAGCGATAAAGATTAAAAAATGAAAATATTAATTGTAAATTGCAAGTGGATATTAACCCGTTTGATCTGGGTGATGTAACCATCACATCATGGAAAATTCAACTGAGGGACAGGGTGATAGGAATATGCCTTCATGAAATTTTTGTCTGAAGGCCAGAGGGATGGGAATAAATTGCCATTAGTACACAAATCTCTTAGGCAGTTAGACTCAATGGCCATTTAGGAAGGGGCTCTAGCATTATTTCCAAGAGTAAACAAATGTGAAATGTACCATGTGTCAGCCATGACTGGAACAGCAATGGCTCAAGGGCAGACACAGTTTCCAAACTCAGGATCCTGTTCCTGCCTGCCTTGACTGGCAGTACAGTATGTATTATAGAAAAATGAGAATAAATATTTAAAAATGAAACAGGCACAAAAATTTTACTTTTTGGTATTGTTATTGCATAGAATTAAAGACTATCTTGAGAGATGATATACAGTCTGCATAAGGAAAACAGCCTATTACCATCTTGAAACAGCATATCACATGACAGATGTAGATCTTGGAAAAAGAAAGAAAGAAAATATAGATGTTAATGCAGAAAGAGACAAATGTTCATGTGGGCTTGGCCTAAAACCCACACACCCAAGATAATCCTCACTCAAGTAAGCCTCATACTTGGATTTTGGGCTATGTGCAGGCAGTGAAGCACCCAGATCCTATGAGTTAATGATATACCAAGTTAAAATACATCAAATAATTATACCAAAACATGTGGAATTCCAGTTTCATCAAGAACACTTGATAAGTCTGAAGAAACAGTGACATGTGAGCCTGCTTCTGCCATTCTCTTTTTGTGCTTCTTTCCCATTGCATGTTTCAGCAATTCTGACTTTCCTGCTGTTAATTCCTTGTTGCATACTGTGCAGTAAGCTCTCTCTACTGCACTTCCCTCTGCTAACCATCCTTGGAATTCTCTCAAGTGTAACCAATCCTTGCGAAACCTATTACAACAGAATGTGATTTTTATATATCAATGGACAAACCATGAAGCATATGTCTAATTTAAAAATAACACTATAATCTATGACTCATCTTTCTTAAATATACAAAAGCAATTTTCTAGCACATATTTATTTTAAAAAAAGAGAAAAATTGAGACAAATTTTCTTACTTCTGACTATAAACTCGTATTTTCCTTTTCTTGTCAGGGCGATGTTTTAGCTCTGCATCTTCAGCTTCACTAGAGTTGTGAACTTGCTCTTCCACAGACACAACCATCTCTGCTGGTACATTTTCGGAATCATCAAGACTTGGGATGCTCAAGCCCTGGCCCTCCATACTAGCTCTAAATAAATGGGAAAAAAAACAAAAAACTTGGCAATTAGACATTAGTCATGAACTGTTCACAACATGGTTACTATACTTATACACCAACAATGAATCAATTAAACTTTGTAAAGTGAGACTTATTTATTTTTTAAAACTTACTGAAAATGCACAGCAATTGTCCAGAATGGGATCATGCAATTTTACAGAAAAATATAATATATATATTGACCTATAAAAGAACACTTACTGCTATATCCATACATTAATTTAAGTAAAGGCTAACAATGTATTCAGATACTTAGAGGTACTTGTAGTGCCTCACACAATCACCAATCAAATCCACAGAACTATATTTTGTTAAAATATACATTATACAACTCAATGACAATTTATTAACAAATAAGCAACTTGTCCAAACTCTCTCTTGCCAGCTTAAATGAGGTGGATTTTTGCTGGCCTATGTCAAAGTACTGGATGTGGCCCAGTTACATACAGGGACCCAATCTGTTTTTATGGTAAATCTTATAATTCAATCAGGACTGTTTTTTTCATAATTATTTTTCCTAAGTAGTCAAATGTAACTGACACATGTGGCCATTTAGGAAGGGGTCTACCACAGTATTCATCTCACACATATGTGTGATATGATGAACACTGTGGTAAAATATAGCTTACATCTAATTTCACAATAAATTGACAATAAAACACAAAAGCTCTAATCTCTCTGTAATGTACATGATGGAGCTTTGTCTGATTTGTGCTAGGGTGTCAATGGGTACATAGGCTAGTGGCCAATACACTGGGTAGTAGTAAACTTTGTTGATGATATTTATCTACACTAGAGGAAGAAGAAAGGGCAACAATAACCTATTTTTTTATCTTTCTTCAAATATTTATATTCTAAGAAGCATTATCCTTTAATATGTGTATAGAACTAAGTAGGCATCCAAAAACAATTTCAAAAAATATTTTCATAAACCATGACACAAACTTGTCATGGTAAGAAATGAGTCTCGTATCCACAGTTATCAACTTATCACCTGAACTCCTTATCACCAACAGCATTCACACCTTCCCTCTATTCTTGGTAACACCATCAACAAAACAAAACCGTGAACTTACGTGGCAAAATGCGTCACTTCAATCGAATGTGGGATATAATCCGCCTTCATGTTTGCTACTATTACTTCCTTCTTTACACAAGTTCCAACTGAAGGCGTTGGGGAATCCTCCATCGTATCCAAACACGTCCCCACGAAACGTCAAAATTTTCCCCTTCACTACCAGGGAAATTTTCGATAACGGCACTCGTCTCCGGTGTCCCTTCTCTGCTTTGTTCTAAGCACAGGAGGGAAATGCCTTGAGTGTGTCACCCGTCATCTGAAGGATAGAAAAGGCTGCAGGCTATCCCGATAAGCAGAAATGCAACGAGTTCACAAAAAGCGAGCGCTGTCCGGCGGGGGAATACGGGGCACAATGGCGGCCTTGTGGGGGAGGATCCGTGCCGGGGTCCTAGAATTTCCCTGCTGTTTGTTTACAATACGAAAAGCACGTGCGCTCCTGAGGGGCTCACAGGTGACAGGTCGTTGGCGAGCTGTCAGGTCATGATTTGTGAGGAGACAATGATAAAGACCCAAATTTGACCCTTCATACTTTAGAGCATTGCGTAGTATAGGCTCAAGAAGTTGGCTACGTCATATATATCACTGGATGATCATGAATTATAACAATAATAATAAAATGATGACGGTGACATTATGATGATGATGATGATGATGGTGACGATGATAATGATGATGAATAGAGTAGAATAATAATGGCAATAGGTCAATAACAACAGTAATAGTAAAATACAAATAGGATAACAAAATAATAGTACTGGTAAAAATTTTAGTTATAATCATTTTTACTTATAATTACCATCATGATTATTATTATCATTATTATTACCATCACCATCGTCATCATTTTTGTTGTCTTCGTCATTTCATTCAGTTATAGTAAAATTCTCCATTCTGTTAACACAAGTATTGACTTTGAAAATACTCATATATTAATATCAATATGCATCAAAGGTACTGTTTCTTGCAAGTGGGAAACGAATCAAAATTATACCATGATATTTGATATGTTCTGGCAGGAGTCACACCATACCAGAGATCCTATATCCAGTTATCCTGAGGAACGTCCTTTTCCCCAGAGTCAACATATTACTTAAATCCTGATTCTTTCACAGACGGTGATCGGTAGTTTATCTGGTAGTATGACTAATCGTTTAAGTTTAATCTAAACACTTCTATAGAATATTGAGCTTTGTTATCGATACTCTTTGGTTAACATTCAAACCACTAATAAAAAGTCTTGATTTTGCATATTCTTCAAGGACATTTAAGCACTTAAACCAAAACGATGGCACAGCTTTCAAAATCTAGGAGATATCCTTTCTTATTTCTCTTCCATGTGGTACCATTCATTATAATTATCAATATCCCTGGCAATAATTAAGAACAAGTAGAGGTCCAAGAACTGACTCTTGGAACTCTTCACTTGACATTTTATGATTTTAATTCACACGAGGAAATTCACATTATATCAGTTGTTTCCAAGGTAAATTTTTATATAGACTTCTATTTTCCCGGTCTTTAAGTTTATGGCGGCGTATTCTGTAATTAATCTTGTAAAAAAATGAGGATTATCCTGTTATCATCTCTATTTTCAGTGTCTTTAAGTTTTTGACATGGGCTACTAACTAATACAGGCCGGGCCATAGCCGAAGGCCCGGGCGAAGCTAGAACTTCGCAAATCACAATCGGCTACTAACTCTTACTAAAGCCGTATTGCCCAGGATTAGGTGCTATACAATTTTTGTAATTTTGTTACGCTTTCGAAATTTTTCTTAAGTAAAATCCAAAGTAAAATTGCACTGGTTACGGTTAATTTGAAAAAAAACTATAATTTCGTTTTTATTTATTTATTTATGTTTTACTTTCTGGGGGCCATGGAGGAATATGAAAAGTCTGACGTCGAATCAAACTGAGTTATATCTCAACTAAATTATTACATATCAATAAGTTGGAACCTTTCCACAAGGCGTACTTGTCCTATAGCTATTGACGCGGTTACACTATTCATAACTAGTAATAACTGAATCTGAAAAGATGACAGTCAATGGACTTGGATATTATCATGTAATGGGCGTGGGCCAAAGAATGATACAAGGTTGGGAACCACAGTACTAGAAGCTTCTCGCTTCTCTGTTATCTCTGGTAATTTCCTGTGTATCAGAACCATATAAGGGGAAATCAAAACTTGACTTTCTCGCTATAGTTTATCACTAATGTTTAGAGCGCCACTGCAAAATTTTCAATGTAGCAAGTGGTCTTTATATCATGGTGCACCTGTGTAAGTTTGTGTGTGTATGTGTGCGTGTGTGTGTGCGGGCGCGCCAATATGCTAGCGAAATCGTTTAAGGTAGCGCGGCATGAATGGTGCCAATCGGTAGACTGGGCTCGGGAATATCATAAAAGCTGTAGATCAATGTATCAGCTGCAGTTGATGCCGAGCGCGGAATTCTAATATGCGGCTCTTGTATACCGCTCTCGATTCACCTTATGAGCACCTCTGTCTTTCTGTCTGTCTGTCTGTCTCTCTCTCTCTATCTCTCCCTCTCTCTCTCCACACACACACACTCACACACACACACACACACACACACACACAAAATAAGATACATGATTAAATTAAAGATCTTGAACTGAAAAAGCCAGACGGACATATGGAAATTAATTTCAACTTTCCTGTCACACATGGTTGCGTTCAAGGTCTATCTAGTAAGCAATAAACATCAAAACGAGAGACACAAATAGTCTTTTGATAATATATAGACCTAGATCGCGTTGTTATTTTCCGCGAATTGTTATATTTCGCATTTATCCTCCTTTCTCTGTCCCTTGCTCCGTTGCATGAGATTAAAGTCTCCGATTGTTAAACCAAAAAACTTATACTTTGTTTTCTTTTTCTGTACTCAAGTTGTTTAGTAATTTTTCTTTTTGCGTAGCCTTAGTCACTGTAATTGGGTTATTTCCATTCAAAAGTTAATATAAGATAGTCATTAGACTTTTAATCCTATCTGTATAGAGATGCTTATCCTTACAATATTTTCTTTTGAAAGAAATACTGGAGTTTTCATGTGATTAATGTGTCATATGAGTTGAATTTTGACACGTTGGAAGACATGACATGGGTCATTGTCCAGGAATGTTTATTCATGTGTATATCTCAGTGTGTGCTTTTAAATGTCACACAGGAAAGTGTGTCTGTATGTGTATTTGAATCGAATGTGTTGGCGTCTGTGTTTTTAAAGTCATGAATCGATCTTGTGAGAATATAATGTTCCGTTTTCGCACGGGGATTTGTAACAAAAGAAATTACTAAATATGTTGAAAGTATTTATGTTTCACAATCCGTCATGCGATCGTCGTAATCTGTCAGGCGATCAAAGGAATCGAATACGTGGACAACACATCATCATTCTTGGTCTTTATCCGTGTCACATAAAGGCGCATAATCCGTAACAGTTAGTAGTGTCACAACATCAGTGTATGGGTGCGAGTTATTAAGATACGTTTTGGAAAAATCTGATACATTTAGATCATTCATTCAGCACATAAAAGTTATAAAGAATAAAATACTTGATTATTTTGATTGAATGGTCAACAAATCTGACAAGTTTCTCCTCTACGCAATCCGGATATAATATCGTTGGACAGCTGTTGGCAGACGAGGAAAGGGAGTCATTTGTGTACATATTCCTTTTAACTCGTAACAGTAAAAATCTAACCATGGTTTTGATGACGATGATAGCAAGAGCCTCGGATGGGCTTCCACTTGCTGCTTCATTACAGGAAGATGAACAGGTAAATGTGTGTAGTTTTAACTAAATGTATGATGTTTCCACACAGCCCACAGCCGTTCTTTTCTGGTCTAAATGATGATGATCTTGTTGCTACTTTTGTCTTGTATTTGGTAAGGACAAAAGTTATGAGGAGTGTTTAGTGTACCGAAGGGATACTTGCTGTTATAAGATGAGGAATATGTTGCTGAATTGGTGTGTGTATGTTGGCAATCTATGGTTAAGTGCATTGGTTACTTCCCTGTGTCAAAACCTGCCAGACTGAGTTTAGCCTTACGACGCCGGGAGTGCATTTATGCTTTCAGTGTTCATTGCGGCTTTGTTTTAATGAAGGTGTATATATAGAGATGACTGAAGAAGTGATTAGTCATCTGGGAGTCAATTGGTAGATTGTCACTGCACTTATTTATTTCATTCCTAGATAAAAAAAAAATATCTGTATTATTGATATTGGAATTCCTGATAACATCGTGAGAATAACAGTGATGATGTTAAAAGCAATGATACCAGTAGAGATAGTAGCCTAATATTAATAAGTAAAAAAAAACCAGCTATCTGTAAAATATGGCATAGTTTCAGTATCCCACAGCCATGAAGTACACGATAAAATTTGCCTAAATGGGCAGAATGACAGAAGATTAGATATGTTTCATCTACAGTATTACCTTCACACGTTGATAATATCAACATGTGAAGGTAATACTTTGATAATATGAAAGTTAAGAGAAAAATGAAAATACATTGTTAGGTCATTGTTAATGAGAAATTAGAGAGCTTTGCTTAGAATCTTTGAGGCTTCTGTATGGCATATATGAAATTGTATTTCTATAACAGGATTAATGTGAAACATAATGAAATCTTAAAAAAATACTATATTAGATAGAATATATTTTCCCTTGTAATCCATATTTGTATTATTTGTATTTGTTTCTTTTATGACTTGATAGGTACAGATAATGTGCCCTCTTATAGTAATTATTATAATTGGATTCATATAGCAACATAAAATATGAATTAGATTTACATTAGTTTAATAATCTAGTAGTGGTATAGAATGAATACTTTGGCAAAAGAAGACACAAAAAAACAAGGGAATGACTAAAATCATATTAAGAATAAAAGGATATACTAGATTAATGGTGTAAGGATATATTTTTGTTGTTCTGTATACAGTCAAGCCCTGTAACTCTAGTTGGACTGTATATAGTTACCCATGATAATTTAGCCACTGTTTGAATAGGTAATCCTGAATTTAATTATTACTTGGGCCCAAGAAAATAAGGCAGCACTTGTAAAAGAGAAGGTAGATGTAACAAGAAAAGCTTGGGACTTGTCAGAGATGGAAATGGTAGAGCAAAGATGCATTATGAGAGCAAATACAGTATGTGATTTGTACTTTTTCAATAAGAAATCTTAGAGCATTTCATGCATCAGACATGGTGCTTTAATAAAAAATATGGTAATTTTATTATGTAAAAAACATTAGATAATTACAGTAATTCTGAAGGAAGAAATTGATGATATTGATATGAACTTTATTTAACCAGATAACAAAATATAACACATTTAGTACAGTCAGGCAAGTATGGGCATACCATAGTGTACAGCACCCAGGAAATTATCTGACTTGACTCATGATATGATGAGGCATCACTGGGCATTTATCATGCCATGATAGCTTGTCACTTATAGTCAATGGGTTAATATAGAATCAAGTGTGAGCAGACTTTTGAATTTCTTCTGATTGCAAACCACAATAAAAGAGTGAACATAATCATTCAGTTTTTTTAGAAGCTTCTTTTGCGTAGATATGATATATTGATGTCATAGGAGTATTTAACAATCTTGTGACCTAAGTTCTTCAAGAGTCTAGGAAAATTAGTGGTTTTGTATTGTATTCTTTGTAATTGAGTGGTAAATTAATTTCAAGAAATGATGTATCTTCAATATTACAAGCTGATTTTTAATATTTTCTTTACATTTCAGTCAGGACGAAATCTTCTGGAGTATCAGAACCAGGCCAAAATGCTCTTTAAAAAATTAACAGTCAACAGCCCAAACAGATGTTCCATAGAGACAGGCCCATATCTTTTTCAGTAAGTATTTACAATGTTATATAATGCTTGTGAGTTATTATTATTATTTATTTATTTGTATATATGAAAGTTAATACATTTTAAACATATGCTTACTAGGAGGTATGTGTTTTTTGATAATTTACTCTCTGGCAATATTTTTGTGATAAAAGCAGTTCATAAAGGTTGTAGATATACAAAATATTATTATGGAAGTCTTTTAGGCTTTCAATATTTTGGCTGTAGTACATAAGAGTATTTGGGAGATTATCCCTCTCTATTCAGTAACATATACAAACTTTTCAAGGTCTGAATGAAAATTTTATTGATTGAAAATATTTGTTTCAAGATTCTGTAGTTAAGATCTATAATGATAAATAAAACTTTTTATGAAGATCATAACCCAATGCCGCTAGGGAAAATGAATAAAAAATGGCAAAAATGCTGTGCTCATTTTCTTTATTTTTTTGTGAATGTCTCTGCACATAGATGGCTCTGCTAGTGCTTAGTCACAAAGGAATCAATTAGTAGACCTTGTGACCTTACGAGATTTGAATTGGTGGGAAAAATATATTTTTTACTAGTGATATGAATATCGATGGTATTATTTTTATTATAAACATTATAATTACTATAATGTTTTAAACATTAGTAACAGCAAAATAAGATAACGCAAAATATTTTCGTAAATCAAAGAAAAGGGTAAATGGGCGAGACGAGCAATACTCATAATTGGCTCATTGGTGATGTAGTATAAGTGTAAGTGTTGTAAAATCAATCAAACAAGTAACTCACAGTGGGCATAGCACGTATGTACACATCATGCCTGTTGGCATTGGGTTAAAAGTTGTTTTTACTGAAGATTTTTATTCTTAATTAAAAGTTGAGAAGTTAAAGGATAGAAAAAAATTAGTATTGTTAACATAGCTATTATTTTATACTTTTCACTGTTTATCAACATAGGTGTTGCAATGTATTTGATTCTCTACCTCTTTCCAGCTATGTAATTGATAATGAAGTGTGTTACCTGGTGCTATGTGAACGGGGTTTCAGCAAAAAGTCAGCTTTCACATTCCTGGAAGAAATGTCAGCTGAGTTTAATTCACAGTATGGACGTCGAGTTGCACAGGTTTCCAGGCCATATTCCTTCATAGAGTTTGGTATGTCATTATAATTTTCTGATATATTAGCAATGTAATAATAGATAAAGCATAATTCTCTTAGGAATGATATGTCTTTATGTCATACCACTGCTGACTTGTAATAATTAACAATATCCTACTTTGTTACAGACACTTACATCCAAAAGCTCCGTCGTCAGTATAGTGATCAAAGAGGACGACGCCACATGCACCAGCTACGAGAAGACTTGAATGATGTGCAGAGGATTATGATGGACAACATTGATGATGTTTTGCAACGAGGTGCTGCACTGTCAGGTGAGTGGAGGAAGAAATTTGCCATACTTGACTTAAACTATCAGCATAATTTGAGTAAGAGCTGGCCATTTTTTAATTTCATTTATATAGTAAAATGCTCTATCAGTATGGAATGTCACTGACTAAATGGGAAATGAATTTCTCATGTCAGTGTTTTTAACCCATTGCCGCCGGGGAAAATTAACAAAAAATGGGGAAAATGTTGTGCCTATTTTCTATATTTTTGTGAAATGTCTGCCCATAGATGGCTCTGCTAGTGCTTGATTTGAAATGGCGGGTAAATGTATTTTTCACTAGTGCTATGAATATTAAAGGTGTTATTTTTATTATAAACATTATAATTACTAAAATGTCATAAACATTTGTAACAGCAAAATAAGATAACATTAAATATTTTCATAAATCGATGAAAAGGGTGAACGGGTAAGACAGGCCGTACTCGTAACTGGCTCATTGGTGATTTAGTACAAGTGTAGCCATCTATGTGTAATAACAATTAAACAAATAAACTCATGATGGGCATGGCATGTATGTACATGCCATACCAGTCAGCAAGTGGTTAATATCTGTAAAAAAAAAAAGCCACACTGTTTTCATTTCTCAGTAAGTTTTGTGGTCATGATTGCTAGACTTTTCAGTTCTGTTGAAGATAACATTGTTTTTGAGCCAGTGAAAGAGAAAATTAATAGAAAAGATAAATAGTCAATGTTCAAATGACTAAAAATTGTAACAAAAATAGAATTGAGGATACATTTATTCTATATAGAAGTGAGTAAAGACTTTTGCTTTTGTCAGCATGAAAAGTTAATGTACAGTGGTATATCTATAGTATACTATAACTCGTCATAAAATCCACAATAAATGATATATGGTTATACAAAAATGGTAAATGAAATATAGGAATGACAATTTATCTACTGAGAAAAGTTTTGCTAGTAATTTGAAATTTCATTTGTATACAAGTTTGAAGGTCATACAGAGCAGCAGGACTTTAGCTATAAAGATAGCCCTGACCAGTAAGTAAAATTCATAATTGATCATGGATAATCTTGCTCATTTCAGATTTGGAGACAAAGGCTTCTGGTTTATCAATGATGTCAAAAAAGTATCACAAAGATGCCCAGTACTTGAACATGCGGTCTACCTATGCAAAAATTGCTGCTGGGGCAGTGGTTGGATTGGTGTTTTTGGTGTACTTCTTTGTGTTTTAATCAGTTGGCATTATCAAGTTTATTTTAATTTCTTTATATTGTTGGCAAATATGATCAGATTATCTGTAGTTGTAAAATTTATTCCTATTTATACATGTAATAGTTTTACAAGCCAAGTGACTAGTTTTTCATTCTTTTTGGCAAAAGCAATCTACGTTTCCAAAGGACTACCTTATAAATGTGACAACCAACTATTTGTGTTTATATTACAACCTTCATGACTTTTGTTTAAAAAGAAGGGTCGCATTGAGGCATTGTTTGTACCATTTTCCTCATTCACCTTTTCTGGTTCATGAAAGAAAATGCACTTAAAAATTTTTTATGGACAAAGTAAATCTCCCAACATTGATATTGTGAGCAGCTTCTTTATAGATGTATTTTGGAACAAGTAATTGCATTTCCTCTCTGCCCAATCTAAAATTGTGATATATGTGTAATTTGTCTGGATGTCCACATCATGGTGAAGAGAAAAAAGCATTTGTCATTTGTTTTGAGATGGCAGTAGCTGATCAAAGATATTTAATGTAACTTGTTCTATATGCAAAGCTAATTTTTCAGATGGCTAAAAAGATTTGTAAGTTTTTCCTTTAATTTTTTTACCTTTAGCGTTGAAGTGTATGGCAGGTATATAACCTGATTTAATGTACATAATATGGTTAAAAAAATTAATAATATTCCAAGATTATAGAAGCTTTGCCTTTTGTCTTTCATACACTTCCAGCTTCAGATCTTATTGATATTTCCAGAAAACTTTATACTCAGAAACACAGATGATTTTGACAAACAGCTGTTTAAAAAAATAGAATGATAGTGTAATTACTGGAGTGTATGTGTTTAGTATAGCTCCAGACATACCTAGTTTTGGGTATGGAGACAAGGTTACTCCTTTTTCATTTATAGTTTAAAAGTTCCCATGGGACTATGTGGTAGGAAAGTGTTAGATACTTCCAACTTTATCAAGACCTGACATTAGATCAAGATTATTATTACTGCATTGTTATGCTATTGGATTTTAGTTTACTCTGTCTGTATCTTGGTGCAAAAAAACAGTAGTGTTTTTTGTTGAAGAAATCTGAAATATTTCTGTATTGCTAAAGCAACCATCATGAGAAAATAACTTACTGACATAGTTCAAGAGGAAGCTTTCTATTTTAAAGATGGTTTGAGTAATACAAACACACTCACACACACCTTTTTAGTTGGTTGTTTTGAAAGGTAAACATAATTGACTTTTAGTAAGAATACATGATTATCACCAGTGTATAATCAACCTAAGTTTGTTTAACTTTGGAAAAATATTTTAAGGTTTGATAAAGTCATCGTATGAACTGACTATCTCTAAGGTAATGGTTGATGAGGATTTCATACTTAGTATTTATTACAGCTGATGTGGGAGAATCTTAGTGACAAAAATGAGGTCTTCCCATTACAGTGCTTTCACAATATAATAGAAAGTACATAACCAAAACAATAACTTAAGCTTAGGATAAAAAAAAGTTCGAAACTGAAGACATCGAGAAGAGGAATTCATGCTTGTTTTATCTCCCTTTATTTGATGTATGCTTTGTCTCCACTACATTCACGGCTCTGGTGTTAAATGCTATCATCACAGAAGGATTTGTCTTTCATACTTTTGTACAAGATTTCACCACAGATAAAGTGTGACCATGGCAAATCAGCATTTTTTTCTCCCCAGGATTTCTAAATCAAGGGTGGCCCTTGAGACTGTATGTTTTATACATGTGTTTTGAAGGAGACAAACCTATCTGTCTTTCTTTTATTGAGAACATAATAGTATTGTGTACTGACATGTTGACTTTGCAAAAAAATATAAATTTCTTAAACAAAAGCTGTTTTCTTTGTAAATATCCAATAGTTGTTATACTTTAGTGTGTAAGTTAGTAAATAAGTTTTAGATGAACTTTGATAGTATAACAATGTATATTTGTGTTACACTATTTACTGATAAACATTAGTGTTGGTATTGTTAAACTTAAGAATATATGAATCCTATATGTAAATTATGATACTGAAATATATCTACAGTTTCCAGTATATTAAAAAAGTAAAATGCAGTACATTAAAGCTTGTCAGGTAAAAGCTCATAGTGAAGCATGTATATATAGATGTGTGTTCATGTTTTATACGTATATATTTGTACGAACTGGTACACAAACACACGAATATCAGATTACATCACAGAGTAATCTAAGCTATTTGGTTTGACATCGAACTGATTTGTTTTCCATTGTTTTCACCGCTATGATGTGGTAAAGGATACAGCAGACGGCTGTACTTCTCTTCCCCTGTAGATAATCATTGATCAGTTGTTTCTGCGTTCACCCTGCAAAGAAGACAAAAATATAAATAACTCACAAAAAAGGTTCATCACTGTAGGAGAAGCAGCACCATTATGCCCTTAATTATGCAACTAGGCGTTAGTGCGAAAATGTAATGTATTAATTTATTAATATCCGCATTTTTTTATCTAACCGCCTGTGTTTACTCATGTGCTTTGTATGTTACAATAAAAGAAAAAAATAACCGCTACCTATTTTGTGTACAAAACAGAAAATAAGTACTGTAATTAATAACACTTATAATTATATATTAAATTGATTTTATAGCCCTTGAACGCCCATCTCCCAATCAATAGAGTATGGTATCTCACCTTGATAAAACGAGAAAGCGGGATTCCCGTGACCAGAGGGGTCATAAGGTACTCCCGCAGAGGGGTAACTCTGGTAAACTGGCCTATAAACTGGTCGCCGGTACGCAGGGGCTGCAATCTTTTTGGGTTTTCTAGGGTTTCTTTTTGGCATGCGAAAGTGTATTCCTCCAGCTGCATGCGTGAGACTGATAGTCATCAGCAGAGAGGCCAAAAAGAGGACAATCTGGGGAAACAACAATTATAAGCTATAAAAGGTTTTGTATAGCTAGCAATAGCGTTTTATTCGGCCCTTTGTTTTGATTTTCTGTGCGAGGCGAAGATGTAACAAGGAAAATCAATGAAGATTCTAACTAACCGACACATTTTTAAAAATCAAAATCTGTAGTGTCGATGTCATTTTTCAGATTATCACCTCAGATAATAAGGGTTTAAGGGTACACAGGGACACCGGTGATTATTTGAGAGAGACAGAGAGAGAGAGAGAGAGAGAGAGAGAGAGAGAGAGAGAGAGAGAGAGAGAGAGAGAGAGAGAGAGAGAGAGAGAGAGAGAGAGAGAGAGAGAGAGAGAGAGAGAGGAGGGGGTAGCGAAGGAGAGAGAGAGAGAGAGGGGGGGGATAGGGAGGCAGAGGGAGGAAGGGAGGGAAGGAGGGAGGGAGGGAAAGAAAGAGAGGGAGGGAGAGAGACCGTTTTATCAGAAAATGTTGAAATTGCGCACTGTAACGTAAGATTTGTGAAATACTTCTGAGTCATTGTGGTGAAAAAATATGCACACAAAAAGTTATATCTAGAACACTGATTCTCAACCGGGATCCATTTAGCGTCCAGTAAATGAATCCTAGTCCGTGGAGAAGTACGTATGTAAAGGGAGGAACTGCTGATGAGGGAAGGAACTAGGAAATGTTCTTTTATAAATATGCCGGTACAGGCCAATATAAGGGGAATGCCTCATTTAGTTGTTTAGCGAAAATGGGTATAAACTCTGATTGATGATTTTGTTACACATTCTAAAATTCACATGTCGCATTAACTGATAAAAAGACCTTATGTATCACGAATTCGAGACTATCAACTATACGATATTTTGTCTATCGCATCAATGTATGCTTTCCTTACACTGTACACGCATTACGTTTGTACATGTTCTGAGAACAAAGATTATTTATACGAAGTAAGGTATAAACAAATCATAAACATTCCAGGCGAATCTAAATTAATTTAACAGGAACTGCGCATTAGCCTTATCACCTTTTTACGTTTATTTGTGATTGTGATTATGATCTGTCGTTCCGATTGTTTCCATGGTTATATGTATTGATTTTTATCGCCATGTAATTATTTCTAGTATTATAATCCCCGTTGTTGATATCACTGTCCTAATAATGATGACCTTGCATCTCGTCCATCCTATCTCATGACAATATCGACGATGATGATAGTAATCATAGTGATTATATATATCGCCCCATTATTATTATTTCCATTGTCATTATTTACATAATCATCATTATTGCCACTATAAGAATCGCAATCATTATAGCATCATCAACATGATTGCATTTGCATACCCTCATCGTTATTACTGTCCTAAGTACGGCCACGGTGATATTGCATTAAGATTGTCCAAAGAATTATGAATAACATGGTCATCATTATAAATAGTAATAGTGGTAATAGTAATAGTACCAGAAGCGGCAGCATAATGTCAATATCATCTCCATTAATAATACCATTACTATCAGAGAGAGAGAGAGAGAGAGAGAGAGAGAGAGAGAGAGAGAGAGAGAGAGAGAGAGAGAGAGAGAGAGAGAGAGAGAGAGAGAGAGAGAGACTCTCGTTCCAAAGTCATAAGAAATAAATATAGTTCAACACAGAATGTTCATAAATGATACTTTGGCCGTAAATGACAGTTGCTTTGTCTTCGACTTTTGATTAGGTAGATTATTTCTTTTGTCACATTATGTCATGGGAGAAAATATATATTATAATATATATACTAAAGTATATATTATAGTCGTCTATATCCATATTATAAGGATTATTTTCGAAAATCATAAATGTTTGAGTACGTACATACCGAATTGAAACAGGCTTTACTTATTCAAAGGCAGTATTCTTATTGAAAAGCAATATTTCCCTGTCTGTTCGTATCTAAGATGCAATAAATCTTGGCGGAGCACCATAACATTATGTTACGATACCCTGTCCTAAAGTTCCAGATTTATCATTCCCTAAACCCTTATGGTGATTAATTGTCAGACACAGGATAACGCAGTATGTCTGTACCCTTCCATAGACATGCTTTATGTCAAATGTCTAGATCGAATATAATCTGTACGAGCACGTATAAAGAACACACACGAAATAGTTTTTAGAGTAACTCCATAATGCAAAACGGTATTCGCACGATAGATACACGCGTCCATATAGTTACGCAACGTAATAAACAGCAAATGCACACATTACTTTTGCACATAATATATATATATATATATATATATATATATATATATATATATATATA